TTTTTTGAAAGTAATGCAAAAAATAAAAAAAAACTATTACTTCTTAATAGATTTACATAAAATACCTTACCTAAAACCCAAATTGTGACCATGATAATATTTTCATAAATATTGTCCTATAAATATTATCTAGGCCATTAGTAGTTGCTTAAACTGGGTACTATTTATTATAAGCGCCGCTTTATGTTATGATAACTTTGCTGTCAATAGGTAAACGCAAACAAATATTCCACGTACAAGCCCAATATAAAATGATCCCTTTTTATATCTAGAAGACAAAAGAAATTGATTGAAGAGCGCGTAGCCCATCTTCGCCCGAGTTTAACCAATTAATTAATGTTTGTAATCTATAATTACATGACGCTAAGGATTAGAAAAACATTGAAAATGCTTTGGCCTCCAGCGCACGGCTTATTGTTGTAATGTGGTTGGTTTAATGGAATTTTATAACGTAGTGCGGTTTTAGATAATAATTAGTAAACAATGGCATAAAAATGTTTACTTTAACCTTTTTTTTTAATAATATCTAGTGACGGGACGAACAAGTCGTGCGCCTGATGGTAAGCAACACGCCTGTCCATAACCATTGCATTGCCACTCAGAGCTTTAAATCGCAAAGATCTGATGGGAACTGTCACTGCACCCGTCACCCTGAGACATAAATTGAGAAGTCCCATCCCATGTGCCTGTAATTTTACCAGCACCATTATATTACTGGTTGACGGCAGAAATAAGTAAGGTGGCAGCACTACCCTGGACGAACTCTTTCACAAGGAGCTATTTGTCGAAAACAGGCAAATTGTGCTTATGTTTTGCTTCCCCCAAATGATGGAGTAAGAGGAATAGATAGCGATATTTCATATGAATATAATGTCTAAGTACATATACCTCATGTTAATGTTTGATTGCAAGATTTCACACCTGCAAATTTGTTTTTTTTTTTCTTTTGGAATTGAAGCACCGTAGCGACATCTCTTTAAAATAGTTTAAATTAATATGTTTGTCAGTTTTATCGACTGAGAGACTATAGTGCTAAATTCTTTAGGTTATGAGTCAAGGCGAGATATTTCAACGGGAGGACCGCCCCTTGCGTCCCGCAACCCGCGCGGTGGCGATTTATATGAATAAAATAAGAACAGGCGGAGAAACTTATAATTTTAGTAACTACTAAAAAGTAAGATACATGGAGATACTTGGAGTGAGAGTGGGAAAACGATAGTACAGGATTTCAAGACATAAAAGAATTGGTTTTAGGTAACACCTACACAGAGAATAATATGATCGTCGACATTTGGAAATTGATCTACACTTTGTGTGTCGCTTTCGATCAAGTCGGTTTTGATATTCTCAAGGGAACGCGTTCTCACAGAAACAGTATTTCTAACATATCAATAACAATCTATGGTGTATACATATTTATGTATGTTTACACAATAATATACGTTATAAATTTAATAATTTATTATATTTCATCATCATTGTCAACCCGTTATATCTCATTACTGTAAACTAGTGTTCTTAAAGGGGTAGTAGGGCGGTTAGGTAAATAGACCATCGTGCTGGCCTCATATTGGTAGGAAACTTCATACGTTTACCATATTGGCGCTGCCGGTGCGTTGCGTCGTCGCAACGCTACAATTTCAACGCACTGAGTGCCACACGAGCACGAGCAATCCGTTGCTGCAACGTAACGCCGCTTACGCACCGCAGCACCCCTCCGTTCTTGCCACGCACGAAGCACACGCACACATTGGTGCATTAACGTCCATGATCTAATACAACATAGGGCGTACATAAACAATATTTAAAAAGTAATTGCAACATTTGAAAATGGAACTCTTTGGCTGTAGAATACAGTTTGTTTCATCTGACTACTTGTTTTTACAATGTGGCGTCATTTTAGAAATTGGTTGTCTATATCACCATGGATTTAACTCGAAAATTTTCAAATTTTCGTAGCATGATTTTCTAGGACTTTGAGTGTAGTTTAACAGCTCAGCATAGCTTCGCTGGGCTTCAAACTGCTTTTGGCGATAAAGCACCATGCAAGACGACTATTTATAGCTGATTTGCAGAATTCAAACGAATTTCGTGATGGTCGCCCACTCACTGCCGTAAACAACAAGAATATCGATGCTGTACGCCATATGAACAAAACAGACAGACATGTGACATACCATGAGATCCGGGCATCTTTAGGAATAGGCATGAGTAAAATATAATCAATGCTATACAAACATTTGGGTGTGAAAAAGCTGTGCTCTCGGTGGATCCCACACAATTTGACTGAGGCTCAAAAAACGGATCGCGTCACTTGATGCAATGCCATGCTTACCAGATTCAACAAAAGGACGTCAAATTGGGATGTAGTAACAGGTGACGAAACATGGATTTATAGTTATGATCCCAAAACAAAGCAGCAATCGAGCGTACGGGTCTTTCAAGATGAACCGAAACCAACCAAAGAGGCGCGCGTACAAAGTGCGTCTAAGCGGGTGATTGCGTCTTTTTTTAATAAATCTGGACACGTGGCTACTGTTGTTTTGGAGAATCGTTGTACCGTGAATAGTGATTGGTACACGACCATTTGTTTGCCAGAAGTTATTGACAAACTCCGTAAAAATAACCGTAAACGCCGTATCATCTTGCACCACGATAATGCCAGTTCTCACACGGCCAGACAGACAAATTATTTTTTTGAAGGTGAACAACATTGACCTTATGAGCCATCCCGCGTACAGTTCCGACCTGGTACCTTGTGATCATTTATTTCCAAAAAGTAAGTAGCAATTACGCGGTCAACGATTTTCATCACCTGAAGAGGCTGTCGAAGAGTATGAAAAATATGTTGTTACGGAGGAGTGGCATAAATGTTTTCAAAATTGGTTCATTCGTATGAAAAAGTACATTAACGCTAACGGAGAAATTTTGAGAAACAATAAATTAATTTCTGACCATTTATAGTATTCTTTTCGTATTTATTCCGGAAACATATAGTGTGCCCCACGTATTAGAACAAATACTTGATTTACATCATAATTTTAAAAGCTAAAATAAATGCAACTGATCTATCCGCAACGTAAGCTTCTCATCGCTACCAGGCTTATTAGTATTATTAATCTAATATTATGTAATGAATATTACTACTAATCTAATATTGAAATAATTATTTTAAACGAAATATTTTCTCACTTGTCATAAAAAATAAATATACCGCAATTGTTAATTAATTGTAATTTAATTATACGTGTATTTTATTATCACAAAAGTATTTATTTTATCCTTAAATACCTGAAAAAAATAGTCTTGTTTTACTATAAAAACACAATAATTTTCCACGGTGTCATACAAAGTGCACCACTATGATGCGTTCTATCTCCGCGCGAAGTTTCAACGTACCATGAAACATTTAGTTCTAAAGACAACGCCTCGTGTGGCATCGCTCTTATTAATCTCATACGACGTGGAAACATCACTATTATTTTTCCTTCAACGTTAGCAAGAGGTATTGATACTTGTGATATTCAATGGACGTACAAAAATGTAAGGAACTAAAGTCATCGATACATGCCGTCACGGGGATTTGACCCGTGGACTTCTTAATTGAGAACCAACCACTCGTCCTCTGGGCTCTTCAGTAATTAAAAATAATTGATTGACGTGTCGTCGAGTAAGGGAACATTTACATATGTTCGAATTTCCAAAAGCTAATAAACGAGAAATATTTCCATTTCAAAATTACTTTGTGTGACGTATTTAACTTTGCGTTACGGTACAAGATCACGTCATCTTGATTCTTAGGCCCGGCACCCATTGGCGGGACAGCAAGGGATTTTTCGGCATTCCTACATCGTCTGAATTTTGTAGAAAGGGCGAAAGCGCCATTTCGAAAAAAAATCCAGGGGAGAATGTTTTACATTTTCACGATTGTTTTAAAATATTTACGTCCTTTTTCAAATTCAATTTTTAAACTTAATTAAAACCAAATTTGAATTTTAAAACAAAACCCCGACGACATGCAAGCGCACGTGCTGCGGTATCCGTAACTATGCCGAAGTATGGAAGAGAAGATTTTACCATTATAATTGAAACTCCTACTATAATGTTATAACATTAATGTATATTGAGTTCTTAGGTTTTTGCGTATGTTACACATAGGAAATGAAACTATTTTTCCGGATTTAAATAGCATATATTTGTTTTTTCAAACAAACCGACGTTTCGGGCCCTTTACAGGCCATCTTTTTAAGGTCCCATGGTCACGGTTGACTGAGGTGGTACAGTCTTCAACCAGTTACGTCTAATATTGATGCAAACCACCCTATTTTTCACTATAGTTAGAATAGTTAATAATGAAATACCTTATTTTTAATTTTACAAAGAAACATTCCAATTTACGCTACATTAAGTTTTACAAATTATTTTATTGAATGAATTTTTATTAAGTTCAATTTATTATTAATTAATAATAGAAACTATAATAAACTAAAAGATATTAATTAGTACTGCAGTCTTATGTCTGTTTGGGATTTTTCATTAGAGGAAATACTGGATTTTAAACTGGTGGTACGTAGAAACCATCTTCCCTGTTGAAATCAGGATGTTTTTTAATTTCAATGGCCTCTCGCAGCATCCTGGGTAGATAACGGACTACTTTTGCAAGGACCTGGGGTTTGTCAAACTTCATTGAATATCATGGATAAACCTACACATTTGTTAAATCCGAAAAATAGTTTCATTTCCTACATTAATATATGTTAAATAATACAGGTCTTATTTTTAAAGTAATACATCTTTTTAATGTAAGATTTGTAACTGTGTTCGAAAAATAAATAATAATAATTATTATTATTTTATTACTATTCACGTCATCTATAAATTCCCTGTCGAGCGGTTCCATCAGTCGGCGACGGGACTAAGCGTTCCATTCTATTCCACTTACGATTAGGAGAGTTCAAAGTATCTAAATTGATGTGATGAATATTATTTTTCTTTTGCAGGAACCAACATCGTTGCTGATAATTTAGCGGACAGGGTTGTGAACAACAGTGACCGTGCAATTTGATATTAAACTTAAGTGTTTGAACTAGTTTGGGAGCGGATGCCCGCTAGTGAATGTTATATAAATTGTATTGGAATATATGAATTGTCTGGAATATAAGAGCCGACTGGTACGGTTGGGATAGCTGGTGGCATGGAGCTGTCGCCGCCAGGGAGCCGCATTCTTGTGGCTTTTTTTGCTACTGTTTTCTGGGGGATGGGTGAGTACCAACTTTTTCTTTTTAAATATTAGTAGTTTCTATTAACCGTAAGAGTATAGTATAAACAAGACAAGTGTTGTAACTTTATACAAACGTAGCAGCGTTGCTTGTATGTGTACGCGCCCGCTGCGTGCCGTGTACGGACGCGCACATTAACATAATCTCGCGATCCACTCGCGTTGCATAGTACTTGTCATCACACGCGCCTTTCATTATTATACGAATGTGTGCGTCTGTATTCGAGTACATGTCCGTACACGGCACACGGTGGACGTGTAAAAAATAAGAATTCATAGTCCTTTGCCTTATATTGTATAGTATAGGTAGAAGCAGTAGAGCTCCTTGTGAAAGAGTTCGTCCAGGTACTGCCACCTTACCTACTTCTGCCACCAAGCAGTAATGTCAGTATTACTGTGTTCCGGTTTTGAAGGGTAAGCGTGCTGGTGAAATTACAGGCACTTGGGACTTGTCAACTTATGTCTCAGTATGACGGGCGCGGTGGCAGTGCCCCTCAGATCTTTGCGATTTAAACTCTGAGTTATGGACAGGCGTGTAGTTTGCCATCAGGCGCACGACTTGTTCGCCATGTCACTTGATATTATACAAAAAAAACTTGAATTCGTACCCTTGGTGTAATAAGGCCACATTTAAAAAGTGACTATTTTCGGGTTCTCCTGAAATTCGCTTAAAGATTCTTCGAACGCAATAAGTAGGAAACTTTTTTTATGCTTAAGAGACCCCCACACTAGTCTTGCGAGCGTTAATGCCAACGCAAGCACAGCGTTGACACGACGTCCTCGCGGCGGCGGCGGCGACGCAACGTAGTATTCCTAACCAGCCAGCGCTGAGCGACTGCGGAATAGTGCCAAATGTCGGAACTCCGCGCTGGCGTTGCGTAGCGGTCGCGCGAACGTCGTCGTGTGGACGCTGTGCGTGTGTTGGCGAGACCCTGACGCTCGAAAGACGCTAGTGTAGGGGTCTCTCAATAGGAGAGCTGTAAAATTGCACATGTACATAATTTGTTATTGAACTAATTTGTGTCATGGTATTATTTTTATGACTTTCATGTGATGAAAGAACTTTTGACGTGCAATCACATGAGGAGCTTTATTATAATACCAAGTTCAGGTTTTTGTAGTATAAGGGTGCTGGTGATTCCAGACACGCGGGACTTGTCAACTTGTCTCAGAGTGACGGGCGCAGCGGCAGTACCCCTCAGATCTTTGCGATTTAAAACTCTGAGTGGCACTACAACTGTCAGCCATGTTGCTTACCACCAAGTGCACGAATTGTTCGTCCCGTCTGTCGGTCGCTTGATATCATAAAAAAAAATCCGGATCTAAAACCAGAATTGTTTTTCAAACAAACCAACGGTTCACAGGGCCCTTTACAGGTTAAATACAAAATATTGTAAAATATATCGAAGTCCAATTAAGAAATAATATTACAATTTATTTGAATGGAATTTCTACAGTGCTAGAAAACGGTAACCAGTTCAATGAGTTGAGTGAGTTCCAATCGGGTATAAAAGATTTCATCGTTTGTAATAATACATTTCAGAAGATTTGAACCAATTAGTCAAGGGTTTCTCGTGGCGAGTTCGTTGAGATGGGCAACGGATTAACTTGCCTGTTAATAAATTAATAAATGTTGTACATTCCCTTTTATTTTTTATTTGTTAAATTATTTTTGGTTTAAAAAAAAGTTGCACAAAAAAGACATTAATACATACAAAAAAAAACATGCAGTCGAATCTAGAACCTCCTCCTTTCTTTAAGTCGGTTAAAAATCAAGTTACAAAGGACATACACAAAGGTGAGCTTATCTCTAGAAGAGATATTATCCAACCAACTCTACCCGCATGGCCGCATGGCTATTTCGCATTCTTTTGCCCTATTTGATACTGACGAATCTGAAGTAGAAAAAATTATTATGACATTGAGAAATGACTGTGCAACTGGAATTGACGAAATACCCTGTACATTCATTAAGACATTCAAGCAACATTTAATACCTCCACTTACATATTTATTCAACCAGTGCTTTTTAAAAGGAATATTTCCCCATATTTTAAAAAAGGCCCTTATCAGACCGGTCCATAAAAATGGAGATAAGAGTTGCTTTAATAACTATCGCCCCATTGCCATACTACCGTCTATTTCTAAAATCCTAGAAAGACTTATCTATAACAGGCTAATAAAGTACTTAGAAAAGAACAGACTACTGGCACCTACACAATACGGTTTCAGAACTAACAAATCGACTGATGATGCAGTGCATGAGCTAACAGACTACATTGTAAGAAACACAGACTCAAAAAAAAAGTGCTTAGCTATATTCCTAGACCTCGCAAAGGCTTTTGATACAGTCTCAATTCCAATTCTCCTTGAAAAATTATACAGCTTAGGAATAAGAGGACATGCACATAATCTTCTAAAAAGTTATTTAACTGACAGGACTCAACGCGTTAAAATAGGTGACACTGTAAGTGAGGAACTGACCGTCGAATATGGCATCCCGCAAGGCAGCATCGTAGGACCATTGCTTTTCCTCATTTTTATTAATGATTTATGCCTCATCCCCCTACCAAACAATAGTAAAATAGTATCTTATGCTGACGACACTGCTTTATTGTTTAGTGCTGAAAATTGGACTGACACTTTCACATTAGCCCAAGCGGGCTTTGACATTGTCAATAATTGGCTTAAAAAAAACTTACTGACCCTAAATACCGAAAAAACTAAATACATGACGTTTTCCTATAACTCACTCACCCAACCGACTTTAAATTCATGTACAATATTAGCTCATAACTGTTTTGGCTCGCTATCGGAAAGTACTTGTAAATGCCCTCAACTAAGCAGTACAAACACCATTAAATATTTAGGCATAACAATTGATAAGTATTTAAATTTCAAGGCCCATATCGAAAGTCTTACAGCGAGAGCACGAAAATTAATATATATTTTCAAAAATTTAAGACATGTCGCTAATGAAAAGCTACTGAAAACTGTATATTTATCACTTTGCCAATCACTGTTTGTATACTGCATAACGACTTGGGGAGGCTCCCATAAAACTACTTTGCTAAATTTAGAAAGAGCACAAAGAGCCATTCTGAAAGTTAGCACCTTCCGACCTTTTCGCTTTCCCACAGCAGAACTCCTTGCTAAATGTGATGTACTTTCAATACGCCAGCTATTCATACTACTAACCGTAATAAAAAAGCATTCACTAACACCATATATCCCATCACTCCAAACCAGCAAAAGACGAGCAGACATTGTTTGTTCAACTGAACGGTTTCGAACAGAACACTCCCACAGATTCTTTTGCTTTCTTGGTAGCTATTTGTATAATAAAATAAATCGTTCTCTATCTATATATCCTATGAATAAGTTTCAATGTAAAAAAACCGTACAAGAATGGTTAAAAAGAATGAACTACAATGACACTGAAAATTTTATATCAGTTTTTAAGTAATATAAATATAATTAAGACGCCAGCTACTATAATTAAGATTTATGTATTATTGTAATTTATTGTTATTGAACAAAATATGTTGACTAACCGTTATGCTATAATCACCAATTTAGATACCTAAGACACAAGTAAACAATTTTACTTAGTTTAGGTATCACCTAGATTAATTTGCACTACTAACCTTAATTAAAGTAATGTAAACATAAAATAATTTCATTGTTTGCGACAATTTGGCGCATATATGTAAATAATAGGTTATTTAATAAGATTCATGTATGTATTTAGGTTAATATTTTATACAGAAATAAATTTATCTTTATCTTTATCTTTACTTGTTGTGAAGAAAGAAAGTCTGCGAGACTAATTATTGTACACAAAATTGAAAAACATATTTTCTTCTTCCGATACAATGAAATGATCCTTACAAGGACCCTTAGTAGTAATAGAGCTCCTTGTGAAAGAGTTCGTCCAGGGAAGTACTGCCACCTTACCTATTTCTGCCGCCAAGCATTAATATAAGCAACTGTACTCCGGTTTTGAAGGGTAAAAGGTGCTGGTGAAATTAAAGGCATATGGGACTTGTCAACTTATATCCCAGGGTGACGGGCACAGTGGCGGTGCTCCTCAGATCTTTGCGATTTAAAGAGCTGGGTAGCACTGCAACTGTTATGGACAGGCGTGTAACTTACCATCATGAGCACGACTTGCTCGTCCTTGATATTATAAAAAAAAGGAACTGAGGTGATCAGCATTTAAAGAAGGTGTCAATATTATTAATTTTTCCAGACAATTCACTCTTGATGAAAAAAATTATTACGTCAAATCGGTTTTCACAAAACAAGATCTACTTTGTATGTTTTCTAGGACCGTTTCCCTATGTCTCATATGGTTTCGAAGTACCCCATAAAGTCTCAGCTAAAAAAGTCACACTGTGTATAAAATTTGTTTAGTTTCTAATAAACTAAATAAATTGTTAATTTTATATACATATTTTGTATTATTTTTATTGAGAACCACACCAATTGCCTGGCCTCAAACCAAGGAATTCCCTATAAAATGAGTGTTAGAGCAGCTAAACTCACTTCGGGACACTACCCATAAAACCCAGACCAGTACTAATTTAGAAAAATAATTTCCGAATTCGGTCGAGCCGCAAATGGAAAATCAAATTTTAAGAAGTCCGAATGAATATCTATTTATTTTAGAAACACTATCATCATTGATAGTATTAACTTTTTTACTATGCCCGTAATAAGGCCTCCTTCAAATTGCACGGATAAACATTTATTACACTACCCTATTTCTAACATTTGAAGTTTTCAATTTTTTTTAAATTCTCGACGGTAAAATTGACTAATATATTTTTCAATAGCAAATTTATAAAAGGGTCTTACTGTACTAAACATAACTTATTTTTTCGGTTATATTCTGTCAGACAAAATAAACAAAATTAAGATAAACATTACCTATGACATAGTTTTGTAGAGTAACGTCACCTAAAAAAAAAAGTTATCTTC